AATAGCTCATTTAGAAATAAACAATTTTCAAAGTAGCCTGTTACATTCAATTTCACTAACATACAGCTCCTACCAAGGAAAAGAATCAAAAGTTTATTACATTAGTGGAGAATCTGTTTGAACTTGGTAATGCTGAAACAGGTTTTTTACTATCCCAAATCATTATTTTGGAATGAGATGGTGAGAGAAGAAATTTATGTATGGTGTGATAGCTGTCAACTTCCTCACAATTCCCTCCGATTCCTCAGAATTTCRGAACGACATTTATTCAGAGAGGAGCTTTTCAATGTGTATTTAAAAGAAGGAGTGCGTAATAGGATCCTTTATCTCCAAATCATTCTAATAAAAACTTTTCTGACGTAATTTTCTTYTAAAGAGGAAAAGGTTTGTCCTTTAGTTAATATGAGAACAAAATATAAATAATAGATGTAATATTCCCTCATATTATAGTATTTTTAGCAAGGAAAATCAAAGCAATTAATGGAACTAGACTTTTCAGCTTTAGCATTTTTTATATAAYGTTTGGCATGACGTTTTTCTTTTTTAACATTATGTTTCAAGTAAATAAAAAACCAGCTAAACAAAAAACCTTATATACGGGAAATTCAGTGAATGGTAGTTACCCTAAGATGTCTTATAAACTTCCCTGGTTTCTGATTTTTTTGTTTAATTTAAATTACTAAAGACACATAACTGAACAGCTAATAAAATAYTTTCTTTCCCTGTCTAGTGTGTTTAAATTACCACTCCTTCTGCCTACTATCTGGCATGCAAACAAATATCCATTTGAATATTTGAACAAATATCCATCTGAATCATTTGAAGGGTTTGTCATACTGTAYAAGTGTCAAAACTTTAGCTTAAAGATAAGTTGTAACCCAGGCCATTTTACACAACCTATATGAGTTGTGGAGGGGTGCTAAATTAAAATAYACTCTTAAGTGGGAACAGATATTTTTTCGGTATTTTTCTGTAAGAATTGTCCAAATGTATTTCTACTCTCAATTAATTGAAAAGTTGTGCTTCTTGCAGTAAGTCCTGATGGTCCAAGGGTATTGCAGGCACGACACTGCTTGCACAGTAAAACGTATGCATCTGCTTTCAACCTTCTGTTGTCTTTTTGCACTACACTACAAATTTAAATTACTGTGACATTAATTACACTCAACTTGCATTTCCACAGTTTTGCATTATTTTCTGTTTAATKATGGTAGCAATATGGTGTGCATACAGTTCATGCAGACAAACTGTAAGTGTCAAGTTTAAGCCAAAATAAGTTTCCATCTAAATTTAGGCTCTTGGGAATGAGGAGTTGTGAAAGAATAATCTTGTAGTGGTTCATAAATTCAGTTGCTAAATGGTAAAGTAATTTCATTTTGATTTCTGTCTCCCTTCATCTTTAATGTGGAGCACTGGGATGCACAAAGTTTGCTAGAAATTCTAGGCATTTTAAAATTCATTGGCAGAAGAGCATGAATTTTTTTAGAAATTGGCATGGCATCAGTTCTTAAAATAGATAGATTAAATAGCAAACAAATTGCACTTAAACGTCAGTTAACTTTCTTACAGACTTCTACWGTTTCATATCACGGTCTGGAGATGGAATACTTAAGTAATGCTGAATTCCTGCATCTGTTTCACAAAAAATGGTTGAGGATAGGATGCTTGGCACTGACTAAATCAGTGGTTAAAATCAATCCAGATATCAGGCATCCTCCACTCRGCACAGAAAGAAAGTTTAAAGCTTTAGGTATTCCATGTAGAGTTTGTGTGTGAGGCAGGATATGTTTGTAGCAAGCCTTAGCACATTGCCAAAGCATTTTAGGACAAATTTCTTACTAAAGACAAATTCTAGTCTTTAAACGCATATAGAATTTTTTATTTAGTATGCTAGCTAGTATTGGTATTTTTTTATTTTATGTAATTGCTGGATTCCTTAGTGCTTCTTTACTACCTCTAAAGTAAGTTCAGGTGACTAATTTAGATGTAAGYTCCTATGGTGGTAAAATCTACTTCTGGTACATTACTTCTTCCAYAAATGTGTCTCATCTTTTTTTGTAGCCTCTGAAAAGCAGATGAAGTTAGTTTGCAGAGAGTCTTCTGAAGAGCATCTCCAGCCCTTCAAGGAGAAACTGGAGGAATTCTTCCAGAAAGGTAACCACATCTGAAAAAAAAGCTTATTGCCAAATAGCATAGTGGTTTACAAAGTTATGCATMATGTAAGCTGCATTAAGTATCTGTTTCCTCTGAAAATTCCTATGGATTATATTCCTAATGGGCCTAATATATGTTAATATATGTTGATATATGTTTTACAGATCTTAGACATCACTTGTCAAAGATAATTGCTCTCTTGATCTCACCCATTTCCCATTGGTTATTGTATGCTTTGTTCTCTATTACTGTTTGTAGGCAAAATGAAAAATATATTCATCACAGACRAAATTTATCATAGGGAATATAAAGCTTCAAGTTTATGAAAGATTAGAGTAGAAGACAGTCTTTTTGAGAAAGTCCACATACATACTTGTCATCTTTTATCACTAGCGTGAGCTTATGAACTGACTTATTCATATTTAAAGATTTTGTCTTTTGTGAGACAGAAATAAGCATTTAAAAAGTGATTTACCAGATTTAGAGTCTGGAGACAATGGGTGAAATCCAAGGTACAATTTGATCCTCAGTTCTAGACAATGTAAATGAAGGTTTCTGTTAAAAACAACAGTCCTGCTCCCTCCTGTTTCCCAGACTATATGTTCTCCATCACCTGCTTATGGAGCAGAATATATATGGGAAGAGATCTTCCCCCCTCCCCTGTAATAGTACAGGCTTTTTGGTAAACAAAATAAATTCTGTTTTTCTGACAGATACGAGACTTGTTCTCATGGAAATGGTAAACAGTTTAACAATTTACTATTTTGAGAAGTCAGTTGAGCTATCTGAATCTACTCATCCAGAATATTTACTTAGTATTAGTGAGYATCAAGAAGAAATTTTTCCTAACATCCAATCTGAACCTTCCCTGACACAGTTATCACTTGTTACGTGCGAGAAGAGACTGACCCCCACCTCACTATACTCTCAGGGAGTTGTTGAGAGTGAGTGATGAGGTCTCCCCGAGCCTCCCTTTCCCCAGGCTAAACATCCCCAGCTCCYTCAGCTGCTGCTCAGCAGACTTGTCCTCCAGACCCTTCACCAGCTCCGTTGATCTTCTCTGAACACRCTCCAATGCCTCAATGTTTTTCTTGTGTGAGGGGCCTAAAACTGAACACAGGATTCAAGTTGTGATCTCACCAGTGCCAAGTACCGGGTGTTTTATCACTTCCCGAGTCCTGTTGGCCACAGTATTTCTAAGATCCATTTAAAAACACACATTTCTAAATCTCACATTACCAGGAAAGCAGGACTTCATCATGTGTAACCACTACTTGGGAAGACAAGCGTCATAACTCTGAACTTCTCCCTTGCATCCTCYTTCTTTTCCCTGGTGTATTTTTGAGGATGATGTTAYGTGGTATGAATTATCCCTTTGGTTGATTCAGCTTGGCCCCTTCCAAATTCCATGTTCATCCCCAGCCTACTTTCTGGAGATCAGCTTTAGAAATAGAGAAGGCCTGAATGCAGTGCAAGACTGTTCAGCAGCAGCTAAAACATGGATGTATTATCACCACTGTTTTCRTCACAAATCCAATCTACAGCACAGCAGGAGTTCCTGTGAAGACAGTTAGCTCCACCCCAGTTAAAGCCAGCAGAAGGAATAGCAAATCATATYAACACAGTCTCAAAATATAGAGACAACACAGTACCTGGTTTCTCCTGCAATGCTGAGCCACTGTTTTTATCATACTCCACTTTCTGATGAGTGGAATATCATAAAAATACCCAATCTTGGAAGAAGACTATTTCTGCTTTAGATAAAATTGCAATTTAATTGTCCATTATTGTTTCAAATAGAAAAACATACTTTCTAAATATTTTCCCTGCTTATGCCTATTGATGTGGAAACTGAGATACATTCATCTTTGTGTGACAGAAAATTTTATCCTTATGTGTGTGAATAATGTATATGTTTTTTAAAAAAGAGAGGATACATTCCTGCATGCTATCCAAGGACAGTAAGTTCTGTATGTTTAATTTATTTGACACTTTTTAGTGAGGTCTTTTGCATACTAGAAAGAGCAAAACCACATGGATTACTTACTTGTCCATGTACTTGCTTTTTCTTATGTTCCCTTATCCTTTGCTTTGTAAGGTTGTGCTTTATGGTATCTCCTCAGACACTCATAATTTTGTATAAYTAAGCTTCTCATCTTTTGCCATCTTACTCTACCTTATTCTGAGATGAGTTTTCAGTACGTTGTCAGATTCTATAATGATTGATTCTATTTTTCTGTCAGCCACCTGAGTTGAATCTCTATAATGGTTGATGGTACTTCCTGTGGCATTAGAATGGAAATCCTAAAARCTTCCACACTGAAGATAGGTAAAAGTAATAGAAACCCATCTTGATTTATGACACTAGAATAGGCCTTAGACAAATGTCATGCTCAGAGGTGTCTGCAAACTCAGCTGCTTCTCTGAAATTAGGAGTTGACTGTTGATGCTGAGCATCCCATAAGCATCTGTTTTCAGTTTTGTTTGTTTAAAAAAGAGTTGTGGCTGCTTTAAGCAAATGTAAGAAAAAAATTGTCTGTTATCTTTCTGCCAGCTCACAGCAAGTATCCAAAACTCAGATGCTYCTCTGAAACTCCTGGCTTGAAAATAGGGCTGGAACTCGTAGCTATTAGGTTCTTTTCCCACMTGCACAATTCCCATCATTTCTAGTCAATGCTAAGTTGGAAATACTGTAAGAAAAAAAAAATCCTGGTTTGCTTATACAGAAATATTTACATTTCCTAATTATAATTAATACCAATTAAATCTAATACTTGCTGTGTTGTAACAAAAAACACTGAGAGTGTTATGGAGACTGACATTCTGAAATGCTAGAGGGGATAAACTGTACTTTTGCTGATGTCAGTGCTGTTTTGTATAACTGGATGTAATGTAGCCCAGTGTCTTCAACAGGGAATTAGGTGCCAGAAGCTTTGGGTTCTATTCCACATTTAGCTACTTTACATGKGATGCTAGTAGAGTTGGTTAATATCCTTTTCAGAGAGTGCCCCACTTTTCTGGTACACAGAACATTAAATAATGATTATTGCTGGTTTTTGTAGTGAAAGATGATCTTTGTCAAGTACTTTGTGAATCCCACATGAAAGACATCTTGTGTAAACTGTCTTAATGCTTCACTGGCTGTATTTGATGCGCCTGTACTTTTTGGAAAAGGCTTAGACTGTTCTCAAAGTTGAAATAATCTTTAGTAAATCTAATTATATTACGTGCAAAAAATTATTAGTTTTACTACAATATAGGGACTTACTAATTASTGTAAATTGATATACACTTAGTGTATTTCCATTTGAAATTACTGTATGGGGCTGCTAAAAATACGTTTGTAATTATTTTCCATTTAAATGGCCAAGATATGCAAGAAGACCTTTGAAATCATGAAATTAATGTGTGGGTTAGAATGCTCTTTAATTCACTGAATTTTTGTTCAGAAGTTCTTAGAAGAAAACTCTCCTTTTGATTTGAAGTTATCTCACGCAAAAAAAATTACAACAGTTAGATGACTATGAGAAAGATGCAAAATATTATATTTTGAAAAGGAATTAAAAGCAGTTTGGTTACTGCAACTAAAAGGGATTCTGGCCATTAACCATTAGTGTTGTTCATAGTGTTTCTTAGTCTTCTTGTGCATTCCCTCTAGAACAATACAAAACAGAAAGTAAATGACAGGAGTAGGTAACTAAACTTATTTTGCCACCTGACTATTTCATATTGTTTGTCCATTTTAATAAATGTGGAAATGCATAGGACAGGTTCACGCAGGATCTTGCARAATCTGTTTCCAAATTTTTCTTCAGTGCATCCAAGTCAGAAAGCATATAAAAACTTTAATCTGTGGTTGGTTTCCTCCCTCACGTACTGGAATGTGAAAGTGAAAAACTCTTTATGCTTCATTGCTGTTAGCATAGGAAGAGCATAGCTCCTTCATTTCACTTAGAATAAAGCATCTTGGTGATGAAGACTGTGCTATTACAGGAATTAATTTAATTTAGAACAGAAGGGAAGGAAGTAGTCTGAATGCCAAGACAGAACAGGTTTTGAAACCCATTAGTAGTGGAGAGCAAAGCTATTTGGGAAAGGTGGATGATACACTGAAGTGTCCAAGGTAACAAGCAAGATTGAGAGGGAGGGATTTTTCAAATAGAGTAATCTATTAATTCCAAAGAAAGAGAAATTGTCCTGTGTTTAGAATTCTAGCCTAACACTTTGGAAACATTGGTTAGATTAATTGCTACAACTGCYGTGCGTCACTGTACTACGTGCTGTACAACACTGTGCTATGTAAGGGACTGTGCAATAGAAAAATAGAGTTATGGACCTAAGGAGTCACCRCAGCATTAGGCCAGCTAGTGCATTTTTCAGAGAAGCTTAGCAACCACATGGGAAAAAATCCACAAACCCACTTTTAACTGTTGAGTTTTTTCTTAATAATTTTAACCAGTCTGCTACCTAGGCATGCATCCAGTCCAGTGCACTTTTGAATGTATTTCTGGTGTAGAACAGGAGTTTTTAAACCACATTTCTGGTTTTGCCTGTTGGAGTGCACCACAGAGGATTGTTAGGATAGTCCATTGGGAAAGAAAATAAAAAATTCTRTTAGGAAGGCCATGAAGATGGTCAGAGGGGTGGAGCTGATAGTGGGGCCMTTCAGTCTGGAGAAGAGAAAGCTCTGGGTAGATCTCACAGCAGTCTTCCAGTATCTAAAGTCAGCTACAAGAGACACAGAGAGGGACTTTTTGCTAGGATATGTAGTGATAGGACAAGGGGGAATGGCTGCAAACTGAGAAAGGATAGGTTTAGATTAGATATTAAGAAGACATTCTTTACCTTGAGGTTGGTGAGGCATATGAACAATTTTCCCAGAAAAGCTGTGGTTTTCCATCTCTGGAAGTGTTCAGGGCCCAGTTGGATGGGGCTCTGAAGCACATAGTCTAGTTGTTCCAAACACCCCCATGGCAGCAGGGTTGGAACTAGATGATCTT